GAACACTATACAGAAGCCTGATGATGGCAGATGAGATTCTGCTGAAACGTTGCTACAACTTTAAAAGAACAACTACAATGACGTGGGAAAATACCCGAACAAAGCTGAATGCCATTCATACATACATACATACATACATACATACATACATACATACATCATACATACATACATACATACATACATACATACATACATACATACATACATATATATATAAAATCTATCATCTATCTATCTCTTATCTTTATCTATGTATCTATCATCTCTCTATCTATCTCTCTCTCTCTCTATCTATCTATCTATCTATCTATCTATCTATCTATCTCTATCTAAACTCTAATCCCCATAACTAATTTGGCAAAATGGTGCCTCATAGGGCAACACTTTTTGAAGCAGAGAATCTCTATTGGGCTAACTTTCAGAATGTCTCCAAAATTCAGGATTCACGACTCTTGTGGGATTGAAAATTGAAAAAGTGTATAAAACATTTTATGACACAAAATTATCATAAAGCAATTTATGACATAATATAAAATATCATAAAACATTTCCTGTGCTGATGTTTGACTTGGCTATAAGCTTAACATGAGCTGTTTTCAAGACAGATGCATCTCTGAATGTATCCCAACTTTTCTAGTGAAGTTCTGTCCTTGTTGTAGGCACTGAGGAGGGGATCTTTCAAAGGATCATCCATAGGGTCACAATTTGTCCAGTCAATTATTAAAGATCATGGGAGACAGGGCAAAGCCACGTGGACTTGGACCCATCATTTAAGAGCAAAACCAGTGAAGAACAATGTCCTTTTGTCCCCAGCCCTCAGACATAATTCAGAAGGATAACATGGTTAATAGTATCAGAAACTGCTGGAAAGTTCTAATAGGGAAAGAGGGATACATTTCCCCATCCAGTTCTGGAAAAAAGGTCCTTCACCAGAATAACCAATTCTGTGTTTATCACATGACCAGACCAGTGTTTCATCTAAAAAAAAGAATTAATCATCTTCTAGAATCCTTAACTAAGGTTCTCTCAATAACCTTTTTTAAAAAGAGAAGGTTGGAGACAGGATGGAAGCTAACTGAGAGGTGATCTCTCTTTTGAATGTGGTTCACTTTCCCTCAGAGAGATATTCCCTACCCACCCACCCCATATAGATGCTAGGTGGAGCAGAAATCCATGCCAACCCCAGGGAGCAGTACCCATACTATAATTCACTTTATCCATTTCTTTTGGTTTTACAGATTCAAAAGATTCTCCAATAATGTTGCTACGGATAGACGTTACCCTAACTCACCACACACAGCTCTGCCCAAACAACATGAAGGCATAGTCAAATGTGTGCAATTACCTACAAAAAACATTCAGAATCTTTCAGAGAGACCATAGGAGCTTTGCTCTTTAGTCAATCCCTAATTCAAGTCTACTTAACCAGAACCCATCAGTATTGAGTCCAGAATATGGATCATAAGACAGGATCTCCTTATAAATTAATAAAGAGCTTATCAGGCAGAGATGTTGGAGAAGGTAAAATTAAGATACCCATGTAAGCTACCTTGATGTTTCAGACAAACGGTAGGATATGAATGCAAATTTGAACTAGCAATACCTAAGGAGAATACCAAACCAATATTTAAGTGGAATTTATAGTGAAATATCTGTCAAACAGGTTGATGACTGAGTTTACTTTTATATTTCATTCACGTGAGATTTGCCAAATATGGAATTTTCCATGCCATTTTTAACAACTGTTACAAAAACTGAATGCTTTAGGGTGTCAAACTCACATTGTCATGCCGGGATCATGTGACATATCGGGACTTCCCCCTCTTCACTAAACTGGGCGTGGGCATGGCCAGCACGTGACACATCTGGCCTGTGGGCCGGGGGTTTGACAGCCCTCATTTAGGGAGTAATCTTGCACTGTTTAGACAAGTTTTTAAAGCATTTAACACCATATTTTCTGGAAAGCCTTTGCTCACCTCTTCTGCATGCTGAGAACACTCCTCATTAAACCAGTGAAAATCCAAAGTATAAATGAAACTCATGGGTATGCAGTTTTAATGCCTCATGAGTAAAGACAGGACTGCTGTATCTTGGAACTCCATTGTACTCTGCCCAGCTGTTTAAAAAAAAGGCCATGGGCTCATTTTCACTAGATCTACTTTATTTGATTGTGGTATTTTAAACAATGATTTTGCTTTCACAGAATTTGGAATTTGGAATAATTAATGATAGATGGAAGAATTATCAATCAATTTTATTTTGGTCATATACCAGCATAAAACTAATAATATAACAATAACATAGAAATAAACATAAACAGTCATATCAATAGGGTAGAATAAAATAAGATAAAGTTAAAATTGTTAATGTAAAATTGCAGAATATAGGTATTTGAAAGCAAAATAATCTGTACGATGAGTAATCTAATGCTATAAATGGCTAGGATAGATAACTAAAAAAAGATAAAAGTAATACAATAATTTATAAAATGCTATGAGTATAAGTAAAGCCATGCTAACTTATATAAAGCCCTGATAGAGATTGTTTGGATTAACTCCATTTGTGGTCCAATTAATTATAAAAAAAAAAGAAATCGCAAAATAAAAGTTAAAATGGTATGTATATATTTAAAAGAAAAAAGAGAAGAAAGGGGGTTGAGAAGTAAGTGGGGGTGAAGGAAGAACAAAATATATTGAATTTCAGAAGCTCAGTTAAGGAACAGCAGCACCTCATTTCAAGAGAACCTATTAGAAGAAATGTAATGATGAACATTACTTAGAATTAGTAATGATCTTAAAGTGGTTTATTGTGACCTGAGGATGTGAGAAAAAAGAGACACCATAACAGGAATAAATGTTCCATGGTATTAATAGAACTTCATACAACTGCATATACAGTATAATGAGTCTAAAATCCTGTAAAATGATTCCATCAGTGCCCTCATTATTGTCACTTCATCTATGAAACTGAGTTAAATGGACTAATCCATTTAATATTGGAAGAAAATTTTCAAATATTCTTGGGAAACAGCCTAAAACATTTTTGCTGCACAGGAAAAGATTCAGAATACCCAATACAATCAAATTAATTTTTCACATTTATATGGCATCTTACAAGTGCTTCTTGAGAGAAAATTATCATAGTAACAAGTACAAATTAAAATGTGTATTTTTATGGCACTGAAAATATTCTACCTGCGGTAGATTTAAATTTATTTAAAAATCTGTGCATACCATTCACCCCGGGAAGTTCTGGATGAAAAGATAAATCATACTTATAAGTCTGAACAATTTAAGAGACATCTCCACAACAGTGGAGAAGAATATTCCAAAGAGGAGGTTTCACTTCCAAGCTTGTACTTGCAGAACTAATTGGCGTAAGAAAAACCAAGAACGATTCATCACAGTTTCAATTCATACTTCCATGGAAGAATAGATGTGACGCAGATGAACGAATGAGTATAGACAAGGCATGTCTAACCCACAACCCCAAGGTTACATGTGGCCCTGGACAGCTGGTAGTACAGCAGCACAAGATTTTATAAAAAATATATATAAAAATATACAGAAATAAAAGAAGTTTGTTATTTATATACATTAACATTATATATTTTATGCACTGTCCAAGATAATTCCCCTTAACCTAGTATGTTTTAATTGCATATTAGTAACCTATGAATGATTTGATTGGTTATAGTAACCTATGACTATCACTTAAGTGATGTATCTTATGATTCTTGATGAATGTATTTTATTTTTTCTTATGTACACTGAGAGCATATGCACCAAAGACAAATTCCTTGTGTGTCCAATCACATTTGGCCAATAAAGAATTCTATTCTGTCCTGTCCTGTCCCGTCCCGTCCCGTCCCATCCCATCCCATCCCATCCCATTCAATTCCATTCCATTCCATTCCATTCCATTCCATTCCATTCCATTCCATTCCATTCCATTCTATTCTATTCTATTCTATTCTATTCTATTTTCAATGCTGCCCAGGCATGTGTGATGTAGACATACATAGTTGGAATTGGAAAAGACCCAAATGATTCTATTCATAGATTTATAGAGGTGGAAGAGACCTTGGAAGTTTTCTATTCCAACCCTCTCCCCAAGGCATCCAGACAAATGAATGTCAATCTTTTTTTTTAACCCTCCAGTGATAGCATCTGGCATCTTATAGCTTCCACGATTTTGGGAAGCAAGCTATTCCACTGATTAATTGCTTTCACTGTCTTCCTAGTTCCAGGTAGTATCTCTTCTTTAACAAGTTTCCACCCATTGTTTCTCGTCCTGCCCTCAAGTGCTTTGGAGATGAAGTCAAGCCCTCCTTCTGTGTGAATGCCCCTCAAGCTATCCTATCACCCCTAATCCTTCTCTTTATTAGACTAGACATGGCCAATTCCCTTAACCATTCATTGTACAGCTTAGTCTCCAGACATCTTATCGTTTGTTGCTCCTCTCTGCATTTCTAAGAGTTTCAGCATCACAGAACCAGATAGAGTATTACAAGTATGGCTTCACTAGTACAGTATAGAGTGGTACAGTCACAGACTGACCATCATCCAATTGTAGAATGTTTTATATTGTCTTATTCTGTATTTTAACTACAGGGGTCATCATTACCTTAACATACTCTGCTGATTTTGACATTGAACTCTATCGAGACAGAATATTCCATACTTTTCTGAATCTGGTATGTGTATTCTAAGCTTGTACATGATGGAAGTGAGCATGAAGACAATCAACTAGTCTGGAATATTTGCCATCACAGAACAATAATTTGATATAGAATAGCCCATGAACAAAAAAGCCAAGATGGTGACCAGGATGGTGCAATTGACTGCACCTTAAAAAAAATAGGCAGAACTTTAGTTGCTCCATTGTGGCTGCTATCTTGACTGGTTTTATTTTTTTTACTATACCATGTGGACACCCCTGGAAAGACAAGTTTTAGTGGACAGATAAATGAAGCAGACAACATCCCTTCAAGGACTCAGGTGGATGGACTAGAAGCTCTTTGCTCACTGTATTTATTTTTTATTTATTTTATTTGGTTTGTCAATTGCTTACAAGATAATAGGTATAAGTAAAAACATAGTTATGAATACATGGATACATATAAGAAAAATAAAAGAAACAATAGGACAGGGACACTAGGCACGTTGGTAGACTTATGCACGCCCCCTACAGACCTCTTAGGAAAGGGGTGATGTCAATAGTAGAAAGTCTAAGGTCTAATATTCTAGACATTTTAATGGACTTTTAATAGAAGCTGCCCAAGATTGAACCTGAGACTTTTAGCAGGCAGGTATGTACTTCACCCCTGAATTATGTCTGTTCCATAATTATCCATATTGTATGCTGAAAGAGAAGAGCACAAAAGGTTTTGGAGAGCCATGTATTTGTGGCTCTTCTCTGGTCACTTTTTTTCTTTAGGAGAGAAAGCAAGAAAAATGCAATCTTTTATCATTTTTGTTTTTCCCAAAAGTAAAATGTATATAGATCATTAAACTGTTGCCCTAGAGCGAAATCATCTTGTCAGTGTGCTGCTGGCACAGCAGTTATACCGTTATCATTCTGAATAGTTTATTTAGATAAGTTATAGATATAACTCTTAATACAACATTCATTGTAGCCAAGAAGGATGTAACCTAGAGGATAACTGTGGTATCTATGCCAAAGTATCTGCTAAAATACTAAACGAGATTATTGTGAAATTTAGATTTTCATCTGAACCTGGACTATTTATCAAATTGCAGTTAAAGTGCAACTACTTAACTATCATTGCTGACCAGGTTTTTGCATGAGTTACATACTTCTTTGTGTTAGGTAGAATCAGACAAAAGGATTAATCTGTTCATTAATCTATCAATTGATTAATTCTTCCTGTGAAACTCCTACATAGAGTAATTTTGATCAGGCCACTCCATTTTTAGTTTAATTTTATTTTTAATGGAAATAGCTTTCCAAAACAACCAGAGCGTATCTGATGGCCAATCAGTATAAAGGTTATTGGGATGCCAGTAAAAATAATATTAAATCAGAAAATTATAGCTGGACTATTGGATAAACATATTCCAATGCTTACTGTTAGGAAAAGACTTGAATGAATGTTTATCTAGTCAAAAAAAGACAGTTAATTGGTTATTGTCCCGACCAGCCTAAAATTAAAAATGTCTTAATATTTCTAGAAATGTTGCTTAACACATTGGATTGGCTTAAATAGACACATTTATTTCTCTTTTTCTTCTGCAAAGCCCAGGAATAAAGGTATTCAGATGGCCATGTCCAAGAGGAAAAAATTGCAGACTCCCTTGAAAATTGTGCCACGTGGCTTAGACTCAATCATCCAGATTGTGCTAATTGACAATAAAACAGGACCCTATGCTGGCACTCATGCTGAACAGCTGGCTAATGACATCCTGAAGGATATAGCAGACCATGGTAACTCTTTGGATTGTATTGCTGTAGTATGTCCTTATTCTATAGGTCCAGCTCCAGGGAAAAAGCAGTGTGCTTTGCCTGTACAAGAGTCTTCCTTAAGTAAAAGGGCATGGGAGAATGACTTTGTGTGCCAAATGTCCCTGCAATGAAAATTAAAGGATCATGTTACTAGACACAGGAAAATTATCTGTCCAAAAGCATAAAGAACCATTGGTTGCTAGAATATGCATTAATGTTTAGATAAAGTGTCTCATCCAATAGCTACCACAGTGTCTGATTTGTGACAAGCATAAAGCTGAGTACCATTCATGTAAGTACCTGCGAAAACTTAAGAAAACAAGTATGTGTGTGTGTGTGTGTGTGTGTGTGTGTGTAGGTCTAGTGTCTTTTCCTGTGTAAGATTAAGAGTATCTTGGTGACGTTTCGGCGAGGTCCCACTCACCATCCTCAGGCTGGTGCTTTCGGCTTCGTGCCAGTGCAAGCAGTGTGTGATTGGAGCTGCCGTCTCTCTATAATGGCTGGGGGGGGGGGGGGGGCTGGTGTGCTGGGCTGGTTGGCTGTGCTGCTGCCTCTTGATTGGTTGATGGAGTTGTTGTTGGTATAATGGGCTGTGTGATGGCCTTGTGAGTTTGGTTGTGGAGATATCCTGGATCTTGTGCTTTAATCTCCTGGGTCGTTTGTGTTTTGATCTCTTTTCCATTAGCCTCCTGTGTTGTAACGGCTTGGGTAATGGGTTGTGTGGTGACCTTGTGAGTTTTATTGCTGTGGTATCCTTGGTCTTGTGCTGTGATTTCCTGGGTCGTTTGCTGTGTTGCAACTTCTTGAGTTCTTGTGGTGTAATTTCCTGAGTTTTCTGATGTGATATCCTGAGCGGGTGGCTGTGATGTAGCATTCTGGGTTTTGGTCTAGCTTCGAGTCTGGGGTCTGGGTCTGTGTTCTTGGCATGTGTCAGCTTGTTTGGTTTTGGGGACAGCTGGCGAAGCAGCCGTGGTCTGGTTTCTGGATGGTGGTTTTCCTTCGTTTATAGGATGGGTTTGGGCCTAGGTCTGATGAGGGGGGTTGCCGGTGGTGTCCCATGTTGTTTTGGGTCTGGTGTTGGTTTTCGTGTCTGGGACTCATTTGTTGGTGAGGATTAGTTTCCAGATGTCTGGTAGGCGGGAGGTATCGTCTCGTTTATTCATGTTATGGGGGTGTTTCTCTATTTCGATGGCTTCCCTGATTATTCTCTTGCTGGAGTGTTCAGTGTTGGATATTAATTTGGTTCCTTTGAAATTAATTTCATGTCCTGTGGCTTTAAGGTGCTGGAAGAGGGAGGAAGTATTTTCTTCTTTTCTGACTGCGTTTTTGTGTTCTGTGATGTGTGCATTTATTCTCCTGTTGGTTTGTCCAATGTATGTGGCTGGGCAATTGTTGCATGGTATTTCATAAACTCCTTGGTTTTCTAATATGTTTTTAGATTTTTATGGATACAGGTATGCAGGTCATGCCGTGTTCGGGTCTTTTCCCGTGTGAGATTGAGAGCAACTTGGCAACATTTCAACGAGGTCCTACTTGCCATCTTCAGGTTGGTGCTTTCAGCTTCGTGCTTGTGCAAGCAAAGCGTCATCGGAGCTGCCATCTCCCTATATATACTGGTGGGGAGGTTGGCTGTGTTGTCATTTCTTGATTGGTTGATGCAGTTGATGTTTGCAGATTGACTGCTTTTTCATAAGAACATGTGTGGCTGAGGTATTGGCTGTGTATCTCCTGTGTTGTAACGACCTGGGTAATGGGCTGTGTGATGACCTTCTGAGTTCTATTGTTTTGACATCCTGGGTCTTGTGCTGTAATCTCCTGGGTTGTAATGACCTGGGTCATGGGCTGTGTGATGACCTTCTGAGTTCTATTGTCCTGGGTCTTGTGCTGTAATATCCTGGGTTGTTGGCTGTGTTGCGCAAATGGAGCTTCCTGCTCTCAGCCACCACTTGCACTCCGATTGCCAAACACGCTACAGACTGGTACCAGTTCTGAAGGACTTGCCTAATTCCAAGTTAGACTTTTTTTCTACTATTCAATCCAATATTGTTTGCCTTGAATGAAAGGAGGTTTTCAAAGTCCCAGATCAAGGTCTTTTCTATTATTTGTTACCTCATCCATCTAGCAGCAGATTCCAGAGTTCGAATTTGAGTCCCTTCTCTTGCCAAATGTATACTCTTACCACAATGGTTCCTTCCTGAAATTCTCCTAAGATCTTCAAAAGCTCTTACTATGTATAGTATTATTTCTACTGTTTTAATTTATAAGCATTCATATTATAGTACATTCATTGGCTTTTATAATTCTGCATTTTATACACTATATAGACTTATATACTTTCCAAAATTATTGGACACAACTGAATAAACATGAGCTTGTGTTGTGCGTGGGTTAACAATCCCACAGTGTTTCTTCTTTCCAAATCTGGGGAAAGTGCATTGCAGCAGTAAAAATGGAAACAGAGAAAGATGAAGAGGTTGGTTGCTGCTTTCATTTGCTCTCTTTGGGGATAATTGTTACTTGCTGTTGGCCACAATGCTTTCCGCAATGAGGAAATCAGCTAGAGAAACATGCTGGAAGAAGAGCTATGTCCTACCTAACAGAAAATGGGCTACTTCCTGCAATTACAATGACATGTAACATTTTATTATTTTCCAGGAAAATTCTTTGGCATTGTGACAGCCAACCTACAAGTAGCCACTGGCAACAACTGGAGTGCTCAAGGAATTAGCAGCTATCTTGGCCCTACGATCACTGGGATTGTCATAGGAATCTTCCTTCTCCTGCTTTTCCTGGGAATTAGTCTTCTTCTTTATAAAAATGATGCATTAAGGTAATAGATACATGGCATGCTGTAATATCTTATTTTGGGTAAATATGGTGTGAATAAATATGTGTAATCTTTTTTGTTTGTTTAAAAATCTTGAATGCAGAACATGATTGTTAGAGAGAAAATGAGATCTGAATATTGTCCATTAACATATTTGTTTATCTATCATCTCTCCCTCCGTCCCTCCTTCCCTCCCTCTCTCTCTCTCTCTCCCTCCCTTCCCCCCACCTCTCATCTATCTATATTTATTAAACATGTATGCCACCCATCTCATCACTGAGTGACTCTGGATGGCTTACAATATCATAAAAGCAATACACACAATTACAATAGAAACATTACAATATCAAGTCTTAAAATTGAAAGTTAACATTAACAATAAGTTAAACAAAGAATCAGTGTATGAGGTGGTACTTTATCTTATTAAATTTCTAGCCACCTCAAGAATGGGACACCCCAAGCCAGTTGACACAGCCAAGGTTTTAGGCCCTTATCAAAGGCCAAGAGGACGGGGACAGATTCACTTCTAGGGGAATGATGCTCCAAGGGGCAGGAGCCATAACGGGAAAGGCCTTTCCTTGGGTTTCATCACCTGCAATTCCTTAGTCGATGAAATCTGCAGCATGCTGCTTCTGCCACCACAAGTGGGGCAGGCCAAACCCATTGGGTTGAGACACTTCTTCAGAGAGCCTTGACCCAGGCCATGAAGGGCTTTAAAGTTGATAACCCACACCTTGAATTGGATCCAGAACAGTGGTGGGATTCAAATATTTTTACCACTGGTTCGGTGGGCATGGTGTGGTGGGCGCGCTTTGCACGTGTGCACACACTTTGCATGCATACACGTGCCAAACATGCACTTTGCACAGGCGCAGAGGTGTTCTAACTCACCTCCTGCAAGCCTGCACTCTCCCAGTCGCTTCAGCAGCTGCCGCGCAGTAAAGCAGCTACGCTTCAAATTCAGAGGATAAAGGTGAGCCTGGGAGCCTGGGCAGGTGGGTGGGCCCAACAGCAGAGCGTTGGAGAGAACCGGTTTGGTCTCTGCTGCTCATCGCCGCTACTGGCTCGGCAGAACCGGGCCGAACTGGTAGAATACCACCACTGATCCAGAAGCAAACCAGCAGCGAGTACAATTTGCACAACAGAGGTTACTTGGGACACCTAAAACTGTTTGTGCTGATGCATTTTGTGCCAGCTGAAGCTTCCGGATATTCTTCAAAGGTAACCTCATGTACAGCGCATTACAGTGGTCCAAGCACAAGATGACCAGGACATGAATGACTGAATGCAAAGCTTCACAAGCCAGGAAAGGGTGCAACTGGTGTACAACATGGTTGTGCAAAGGCTCTTCTAATCACAACTGCCATTTGTTTTTCAAGCAGGAGTCATGAGTCTAGAAGTATATGGGATCAGCCTGGGAAAGTGCAATCCCATCCAGAACTAAGGATGTTAAATTGCCCTATCCCAAGACTCCACATATCCATACCCACTCAATCTTGTCAAGGTTCAGTTGAAGCCTATTGTCCCCCATCCAGACACCTCACAGCTTCCAGGCACTGAGAAATAGCAATAATAGTCACACTGTACAGTATCTGGGATGGACATATTGTATACAGTTAAGTATCATTGATGTACTGATGATACCTCATCCCATGATGTGTCAGAACCTCTCACTTTGCAACTTCATATAGGTGTTAAAACAGAATCCACTGCCATAGCCAAACCTCTAAGCATAATCTTTGAAAAATCTTTCAG